CTGTGTGTAGCTGCAGTTCCTAGTAAACAGGCGCGGTGTTCTGATGCAGTGGATAAACACATACTTCATTCATTCATGGTTTATTTAACGACATTCTCAAGAGTTCAGGCTACATAATGTCCAATGATAGGATGATAAATGGAAAATAAATTGAAAATAATGCTGAAGGAAGCGGCCTTGGGTTCGTTTGATTCGCTATCTCGGCATGTGTCCGGCTGGATCGCATGTGGAAAACCACTAAAACGTTATTATTGATAAATTATTGATAATCCAATGATTATCGCGCTATAATTTAAGGATTTAGAAGGAGATAATCCTGGTTTATTTCAAATTGTTATCTTGGCATTAATCGAGAAAACTGCCGAGATTCAAAACGGGTTTCTCTCCAGCGCAGAGCTGGTGAGGTTTCACGCTGTCTGGTGCCAGTTATCCCTTTCGCTCAAGTATTGCCTGGTTGGCTTGCAGAGATATCTGCTTCTGCACATTTGCTACACAGTGCTTCGACTCTTGGCTTGAGCAGCCATTTCCTTTCCTTTAATTTTACTTCATGTATTTCACGGCTCAAAACAATCGCCAAGACAATACTCTTCGTGTCCTCTTGTAGGTGCCTTTCTCTCGTTACCCAGAGCTATCAATATTCTGGGTGGACAGATCTAGAGAAAGCAACAACTAAAATCTATCTTACGAAAGGGATAATGGCTTGATGAACTACTGATTTATCATGTGACTCCAGCAGTTCGTCATTATCATTAAACCACTGATCTGATGAGGAGAAAATGGAGGAATAACAGCAAGATTAATCTTCCATGATATGTATACAGTTGCAGTCTTGTAGTGCACTTAATTTCACCTGTTACTTCACGACATGTTTCGGCAACATAGTGCCATCATCAGGTGCCCTAATTACGCTAATCTATTTCACTGCTTGCCTTTATAAAATTATTTAAAAGTATTTAAAAAATGCGTATGTCAACTATAATAAATTTACACATATTAAAACTTGTTAAGATTATTAATCTTAAAGAGCTAGATTCTGAGGCTACAAAATGGATGGAATTGGCCCAGGATTGTGTCGGTATTAAAGGATATTGCAACACTGGATTATATTAGAAGATAGTTAGTTAGTTAGTTAGTTGGTTATCGAACTGAACTTATCAACTGTTACAGCACAACTCTGTGACAAGAAATCTGTAAGTCAGTTTCTTAAAAGGACTTAACAAAGCAATTTCAATTGTGTATGATATAGCATGGAATGTTAGGGCTTTTTGAATGGTAAGTTGGAAAGCATGGGAAAGGAAGTGGTAGTGGCCTATTGCAAGGTATTATTCAGGATTTATTTGGAAGCAACTATAGATAACCACAGACATCTTGGATCACTATATCATACATCGGGGGTCGAGATTCGAACATGCTAGCTACCGATTTTGAAGGTGAGCTAGACAGAATTCAGAAAGCAAAATTTTATTGGATATTTATTTCCTTCGTATTTGTAGTAGCAGAAACCTATATTGTTAACAAATTAAGCATGCTTCTGTGCCAGAGAACCCTTAGCCTCGCGTACAGGCAGGGGCTCTAAGTTGGTTCGCCCTGTAGCTAATTCAGGAGCGTCCCTGATCGAGATGTGTTTGGGAAATATTTGCACAAGGACTCCTGCAAGAATCCGCCGCGAGGGATATGCCCTAATCTCAGGCTTATTGTTACATAATAACCTCCTGGACTTACATACAAACTCGTCTGTCCCTCCGCCCAGCGATGGTCTTTTTATATTATCATAACTACTTTAGGCTTTATGTTTGATGTTTGGATTTGGGGAGCTAAGTCCTCCATACCGAGCTTGTATCCGCGTGTATAATGCACATTTAAAAGTTGGCTGTGAAAATAAAATTAACTGCTGGTCTCCCTATGGTAACACGCAGGGAAGTTTGTTCCCCTTACAACAGTACAATAAAGGAACACACTACTACATCAATACACACTGAGGCCTGACAGTTCCAATACCCATGTCCCATGAAGGATACACTTTCGTCAATGAAGTTGAGATTACCCATCATTCTGGTACCCACGGATAAGAAGCGCGTTTGTTTGGAGGTAACACACCTGACACGCGTTCCAGAGACACCAGGTTGAGGTCCCAGCCACAGAACTTTGAGCATTTTATCGTATATGTAATACTGTATACTTGTATCTGGGAGTCTAACTTATTATATTCTTATTAAATAATGCTGTTTAATTCCACTGGTATATAGCGTCGGATTACAGGAGGATTATGAATGATGAAGTAAGTATTCGGGAGGCAGCAGTCATGACATAAAGCCTCAATCTGGTTTTGCCTGGAGGGACTTAGTAGCCAGCCTCCTCGGTCTGGATTTCATGCCGAGCTCTACCGAACATAGAAGTCGAGCACTAGCCTGCCACTTCGGCCGCGGCATAGCTCAAGCGGTTAGTCGCTGGCTTCCCACCGCGGCGGCCCGGGTTCGATCCCGGGTCTGGTCAAGTGAGATTTGTGGTAGACAAAGCGCCGCTGGGGCAGGTTTTCTTCGAGTACTTCGGTTTCCCCTGCCAATCTTCATTCCACCAAATTCTCCATCATCATAATCACCCGGGCAGGCTACAATAGGCCAATCAGTAGCCACCGTGCGAAGTGGACCCAGTTGGACTCCACCCCCCACTAAGCGAATTAAAAAAAAATCCTGCCACTTCGGTATTTTCCAGAGGCACTCAGAACAAATCTTAGCTTGGTGACCACCTATTCTCAGTTTATTAGTGTTTTTTCGCATCTTTCCCAGATAAATGCTGGGAATGTGTCCTCATGGAGATCGGGACTGACATTCTTCACATTCTTCCATGTTCACTATTCGATGTCCTCTCCTAGTCTCGCTCTATGTACAGGCCTGTGACCTATTTCTTGCAGTTGACAGACAAAGCTTTGTTAATAGAATTGCAGTAATTTAGGTTGCTGAGGCGAAATACGTTCATTCCTGCACTATTATATATTGTGTGCTTATACTGCACAGACCAGCAGACTTAACCTAATTAAGCATCAATATAACTTTCTGCGGTATTAAACATTCACTATGTATTTCGACCTATACTGGTCACCATCAGGTGCTCCAATATCGGAAACGTTAATCAGTGAACTGTTATTGCTCTGATAGACTTTAAAGGATTGTGACGATGGTGTATACTGTACTTCTTTTGGCTAGCTCTTTCTAATGGGCCCAACTGAGTAGGTTTATCCTGACCTACCCACCTGAGGACGGAGACAGATCCAGTCTCCGAAACGTTGTGGTCTTTTGTCTTTTACATACCAGACGATGGATGAAGTAAAAAACAAGCCAAAAGAAGTACTGTTATTGCTCTGTTAAGAACATGCATCGAGTTTTCTATAATCTTGTATAGTTTTCATGGTTTGCTTTGTGAGACAGTCCAGCTACGCGTAACACAACCAAAAGTTTATTTTACTTACTTAGGCCTACTCATGGAGCTGAGGCCTTCTTGTGAAGCCGCCAATTGTGCAGCTACTCAAGAACTTCTCAGCATTTTATACAACCCGAAGGTTCATTACCGTGTTCACAAGAGCCCTCCACTGGTACCTATCTTGAGCCAGATCACTCCAATCCATCCCATCCCATTCTATCTCTCTAAGATCCATTTTAATATTGTTCACACACCTACGCCTTGGTCTTCTCAGTGGTCTCTTTCCATCTGGCTTTCCCACCAATATTCTATAGGCATTCCTCTTCTCCCCCATCCGTGCTATATAACCTGCCCACCTCATCCTCCTTGAACTAAAAGTCTATAGCAAATGTTATAAACTATCTCAATGCCAGAAGACTTCTTCATGTCTCTAAACAACACACTATCATAGGGAAAGCAATGCTAACTGTGGTTTACGTGGTTTGCATCCGTACTTCTAAGTAAATGTCTGTTGTTACTTAAGAATATATTGATCCAGAGCTCACATCTGAAATGTTCCCGCTTGGACAGTATATTCTTAAGTAACAACAAGAGTTGCTCGGTTCGAATCTCGGCCCGGACACCGGCTATCCTGTCTGAGGCTTCAGTCACACGCTGCGATAGTACCTCATTTAGGCCATGGCTGTTTGTTATAAAATCTTATCCACTTCATCAGTCACCCAACCATCCGACGCTACACGGTCTCGATACGGAGAGCGTTGTTAAATAACCCCCTCCCCCCAAAAACATAGACCCTGGAGCACACAAGATACAGACCTATAGCTGGATCACATTGTGACAAGTAGTTTCTATGCGCAGTCGGCATAACGATTGGGACGGGCTGGACGGCCGAGGTGCCAGAGTTCGAGTCCCTGTAGAGGTAAGCTCTTTCTCTTCTCTACGTCGTCCAGACAGGTTCTGCGGCCCACCCACACTCCTACCCAATGAGAACTGAGGGCCCTTTTCTCGAGGGTAAAGCGACACGGGGCGTGAACCTGACCACTCACATCCAGCTAGTGCCGAGGCCAAGAAAACTTGGATCTATGCATCCAATCACTCATACGTCATCATGGCGTAGTGCTTCATTAATTAAGCACAGGGACAACTTTTTTTTTCCGTGGCACTACAGCCCCATTGGGCCTAGGCCTTCCTCCATGAACTTCTCCGTTCACTTCGGTTTTTCTAGAACTTACACATTCGATAGGACTCCTTGGGCGGGTGATCAGCTCCTCTAAGAGAAATGAGTACCAGGAATGTTCCTGAGGCGTAAAAGGCGGCCGGCGCGTAAGGCCTATAACCTCACCGCTATCTGTAAGGCGATTGTCTAGAGAAAATGTGGGAGCCTCGACGCCTAACAACCCCCCACGGCCTGTTATAGGGATAGCTTTACATTCGTTTACCTTTTGAGATTGAGGGGAAAGACATTCTTAACGACCACTGATTGCCACATAAGATAAAATGATAAGGCCTCGAAAGGGGTAAGGGGGTAGGCCTGATCAAATTTAAAATCTCTGTCTTGTTAAGCCTTTCTGTTTTGATTTCAGATCCCCTGCTACATGGGAACGGGCCACCCCTGTTCGGATATGCCGGTATTGGATCGGGGTCGAGTATAGCCAAGCCGATTCCTCGGCCGGCCGCTATGTTCAACCCACACCTGCACACACTGCTGGCCTGTCGTCATCCGTACCTCACAGGTGAGCGCATAGGCTATACGCATTCCTCTGCAGCCAATCCGTACCTCACAGGTGAGTGCATGGGTTACACGCTTTCCTCTGCAGCCAATCCGTACCTGACAGGTGAGCGCATAGGCTACACGCTTTCCTCTGCAGCCAATCTGTACCTCACAGATGAGCGCATAGGTTACACGTATTCCTCTGCAGTCAATCCGTACCACACAGGTGAGCGAATAGGCTACACGCATTCCTCTGCAGTCAATCCGCACCTCACAAGTGAGGGCATAGGCTACACGCATTCGTCTGCAGCGAATGCGTAATTCACAGGTGAGGGCATAAGTTACACGCATTCCTCTGCAGCCAGTCCCTACCTCACAGGTGAGCGAATAGGCTACACGCTTTCCTCTGCAGTCAATCCGTACCACACAGGTGAGCGAATAGGCTACACGCATTCCTCTGCAGTCAATCCGCACCTCACAGGTGAGGGCATAGGCTACACGCATTCCTCTGCAGCGAATGCGTAATTCACAGGTGAGTGCATAAGTTACACGCTTTCCTCTGCAGCCAGTCCCTACCTCACAGGTGAGCGAATAGGCTACACGCATTCCTCTGCAGCCAGTCCCTACCTCACAGGTGAGCGCATAGGCTACACGCTTTCCTCTGCAGCCAGTCCCTACCTCACAGGTGAGCGCATAGGCTACACGCTTTCCTCTGCAGCCAGTCCCTACCTCACAGGTGAGCGCATAGGCTACACGCTTTCCTCTGCAGCCAGTCCCTACCTCACAGGTGAGTGCATGGGTTACACGCTTTCCTCTGCAGCCAATCTGTACCTCACAGATGAGTGCATAGGTTACACGTGTTCCTCTGCAGTCAATCCGTACCTCACAGGTGAGGGCATAGGCTACACGTGTTCCTCTGCAGTCAATCCGTACCTCACAGGTGAGGGCATAGGCTACACGCATTCCTCTGCAGCCAATCCGTACCTCACAGATGAGCGCATGGGCTACACGCTTTCCTATGCAGCCAGTCCCTACCACACAAGTGAGCGAATTGGCTACACGCATTCCTCTGCAGCAAATCCGTATCTCACAGGTGAGCGCATAAGCTACACGCATTCCTCTGCAGCAAATACGTATCTCACAGGTGAGCGCATAAGCTACACGCATTCCTCTGCAGCGAGCGATTTCACCCAGAGGGAGCGCGCCCGATCCACGCACGGAGCTAACTTGGATGTGATATTTTGTAGCGCGGTAGTTTACAGACAGACTGTGCTTGCTGCTTGCTTAGTCGACTTTCTCTTCGACTCCGAAGATGGAACCAGTACTTCCATCAGAACCGTAGGTAACGACTATCAGAGTACACGGTCTCACATGCCATCACCACAGAAACCTCAAATCTAATTTGTTAAAAATTTGTTGAACCTCATAAGGAGTTGTAAGATTTGGGGCTTTCACGGCGGTGACTATGAAGAAAGCAGTCTTCTGGGATTTGGCACCGTGTATATGTGGTGTTAACCGACGTTTCGGAGGAACGTATCGCCTCCATCTTCAGGGTAGAAGAAAAAGTATAAGAAATCTGCAAGCGACAAGACCGTGAGAACGGTAAAAGCAACGGTCTTGTCGCTTGCAGATTTCTTATACTTTTTCTTCTACCCTGAAGATGGAGGCGATACGTTCCTCCGAAACGTCGGTTAACACCACATATACACGGTGTCAAATCCCAGAAGACTGCTTTCCTCATAAGGAGTTGTTAAAAGAGTTTTAATAATTTTACTGTAAAATAAAATTGAAGTAATAACGCGAGTAGGAAAATATTAAACAGTTAAATTACTGAGATAAGCGGTGAAAAAAGGTCCAGCGTGTTGATCCCCTTACAGGATGCGAGTAACAAATATGAAGGACGGTTGTGTATGGATGATTCTCCCACAGATTCGAAGAAGTCTATTGAGGGGAAGTCTTGCCGTCATAAATATTTATTTCATGTCCGTTTCTGACTATCAGATCTGTGAATTAGGCTATCAGCGGGATGCTCAACAATGCGTAATTAGAAAGAACGGGAAAGGAAGTGAGCGCGACTTAAACTGAGGTCTACTTCGGAAAGTTCCCTGAGAGACTGAGTAAAATCACAAATTCCTCAGTCAAGTTAGTCAGTGTCCCAGCGACATTCGGACCTGACATCTCCCAAATACAGGTCTAGAACGTCACCGCTTGGGCTAGTCTACCCAGTAGAACAAGGACGGCCTAATTAGGTAGATTAGTTTATGCTCACGATGTCGCCTTGTTGGCAAGAATATTTTTTTCCTTGGCACTACAGCCCCAGTGGGCCTAGGCCTACCTCCATGAACTTCTCCGTTCACTTCGGTTTTTCTAGATCTTACACATTCGGTAGGTTTCCTTGGGCGGGTGATCACCTCGCCGCAAGGCCTCTACCTGTACACAAACAGAGAAAAACGCACACACACAAACTAAACAGCCATGCCCTGAGTGGGATCCGAACCCATGATCCAGGTTTCCAAGCGAGCGAAGACAGTACATGCCTTAGACCGCTCGGCTACCGTGACCGGGATAGGGCAAGAATATCTGTGCGAATATCATAGAGAATATCGTACAGGCAAGTAGCGACAGTTATCTAGAAGCAAACATAGCTAGAACTACGTAAGTACGAGGCCCATTAGCATCGTACGAAATCAAATCCAGGAACAAAGTCACGATGCAGTCATATGCAATCAATTTCAATAATGTTTTAAAATTAATAATATTGACATGAAGAATGAAGTTTTTAATTAAGTTAGGAGAAGAATAAATTCCGCAGATTCTTGTTTTTGTCCAGCTCAAGAACTATTACCATTGCGCCATCATCCCAAAATGTGAAGATCAGGATATCGAAATATCAGGCCCATTTGTTACTGGTTTTGTAACCTCTCATGTTGAGGCAAGGGCTTAAACTGCGTGTGCATAAAAACAAAATGATCAGGGAAACATAACACAATTATACAACTGGAAGTTGCGTGATTTTTGCACGAAGTCTAGTGAACGTCGTAGTCTTCATCATCATTATCATAATCATCATCGTTTGCTGGTCAGAGCAACTATCAAGCAACGTGCTGACACTGATCGAATATCTCTCATGGGGTGAGACTAGCTCCACTTGGTACTGCAGCCACTGTTCGGCCTATTGTACCAGCCCCGGATGATAGAGGATGAATGTGGTGCAGTCTGTGGAACGAGAATTGGCAGGGGAAACCGAAGTACTCGGAGAAAATTTACTCCAGTGCCATATTGTCCACCACAAATCCTACATTACCTTAACCGAGCTCGACCATGGGCCGCCGTGGTGGGAAGCCGGCGACTATCTAAACAAATAAACGGGTGATGGAGTAACCTATTAAACATATGATTATCTGATTAACTGGATGACTAAGTAATTGACAAACTATATAACTGAGCTACTAAGAGACTGACTGGCTGGCCAACTAACCAAGCAAGCAGGGAAGCAACCAACCACAGAAACACGCACTGTTATCAAGTTCAAAAACAAATTACACTATTTGTGGTCTGAAATTACGTTACACTATACCTCATTAATTATCTGTTTTTTTTTCTTTTGGCGATACAGACCCAATTTGGGCCTTCGCCTACCTCCATGAAGCTCTCCGTTTTACCTAGGTTTACTAGATCTTAGGCATTCGGTGGGACTCCTTAGGAGGGGGGTGATCAGTTCGTCGCAAGGTCGCTACCTGTATACAAATACAGTAAAACTTACACATACACACACAAACACTGACATCCATACCTTGAGTGGGATTCGAACCCATGATCCCGGCTCCCGAAGGAGCGAGGGACCTCTTAGACCGCTCGGCTACTGTGACCGACAAAACCCTGTTTACCATAGGGAAAATATTTTGCATACAGTCTATAGACCTTAATTACATCTATATTTCATGTCATAATTATGCATTTGTATGGTAAGATGGTTTTGAGGAATACGATGAATTCGAAATTTGATTTTATGAATACTATGTGTTATTATGCACTGAAATTCGTTCACGGCCTCAGTACTAAATTTAATCGAAATGCAACTGTTCGAGAACGTAAACCATGCATATAAAGACTTAATTCTCAGCCAGACTGTGAGAACTGCAGTGTGAAAAAATAGGATGAGGGTCGACTCCAGTGATGGATTTTGGTAATAGCAGTGTTGAAGTTTTGGGTTGCATTTCCATAGTTAGTCCGTTAGCTAGCTAGTAACTTTGCTGCTTAGTTCAGTAATTCGCCCTTTTGCGTCTTTACCTTCTTGTTTACATTCGAAGTTATGTGTGGATCCGTCGGTGTATTACGTAATTGGTAAGAACCCTTAGACGAAGGAACGGCCCATCTCAAGTCCTCTCCATACTTACACAAGACAACAAAAGATATAAAAACTCGCACATCCTGTTCAAATTGGACTTGAACCCAGGATCCCAGTGTTAGAGAAGTCACTATGACTAACTATTCAGTTTGTACTTCTATAATAAATTGTAGTTTCTGTTCAATGATTCGCCTTCCCCTCCTCGCCCCGCCTGCAGCATTACATTCATTACAGGCCCTACATTTCTCAAGCCTGATGACGAGTTCAGAAGTTATGTGCAAAGTTTCTGTCTGCCGTTCCAGTTTCTACACCGAACACCGGAGGATCTGTAGGTCCCGGAGGCAGCTCCGGCGCACCAACTGCAGTCTTCCCCCTTCCAGGGACGTTCCCGTGGGCCAACAGTTCGCGTGGGAAGCCACGCAGGGGGATGATGCGCCGAGCCGTGTTCTCGGACCTGCAGAGGAAAGGACTAGAAAAGAGGTTCCAGATACAGAAGTACATCTCGAAGCCGGACCGCAAGAAGCTGGCGGAAAAGCTGGGTCTCAAGGACTCTCAGGCAAGTTCTCTTCTACTAAATAATTTCCAGAATAATAAACAACGTATTGGATAACTTGTAAACAAACCAACTAACTTGTAGGAAGTACGTGAATGCTAACTTCACGGAGCACAATCCTCCTTGAGAAGCTAACAGTTGCACAGTTGCTAAAGAAACCCCTAGGTTCATTGCCGTGTTCACAAGATCCCGTCATTGGTCCCTATCATAAGACAGATAAGGCCAGTCCATCTAATTTATCGAAGGTCCGTTTTAATATTATTCTCCCTTCTACGTCTAGGTCTTTCTACCAAAAGCTCGTATTCATGCCAATTTTCTCACAAGCGTGACACATTCCTCGTCCATCTCATCCTCCTTGACTTGATCATTCTAATTACACTTGGCGACGTATGAAGCTACTCATTATGCAGTCTTCTCTAGCCCTCACTAGTTCAAAATACGTAGCTTCAATGACAAGATTAGTGAAAGATTAACCGACAAATATGTGAAAGAAATAGTCATGGTTACGTTAGAGGTACTATTCAGGAATTTTCCTCGAGGGACGGAGGAAAATCTCAGTCTCTAGCCCAAAATATGAACGCTGAAACTCCCGAGAACGAAGGAGCTCCTCGCACTCGACCTCTGCATCCTACGAGAACTTGTTCCTGCAATAATAAATCTATATGCGCAACGGTATGAATATTATACAGTATATTCATCTGAGCGTTCTCTTGTGACAGGGCGTTTAGTTATGTAATCAACACAACACCTGTTCGTTCTGTAAGCAGAAGTTACAACTAGTTACATTTTCATATTTAATTCAAACCGCGGAAAAAAAGTACAATACGTTACTCTGATATTACGTATATTTTACACAAATAGAGGAATTAATTAGCGATCCTTCCTCGAAATATGACAGGCAATTAAAGCAAATACGTAAGTAATTAAATGAACTCGATAGCATGGACTCCACGAACGTATAATTACATTAAATTAATGCAAGTGCTGAAAGTGTAAGCCCAGCGAGCAATTACAGTGTTCCTTATTTACGCTTGTACATTTATCCTCTTGCGTTTATATACGACTGTTACATGCAGGCCTACATCTGAGAATGATTCGACTGGCTCCGTGTCCGTCGTGGGTATTACCAAGGTCATTTATTGTAATATCCGTCCACACTTATAATAAAAATATATTTAGAGACTAACTAGTGGGCGCGTTTCTGGGCCACCTTCAGTACAACTTAGACCGTAGTTTGTAAATCATTGCCAATTTTATGACTCATAAAGTATTAAATGCCACTTCCTTATTTGTGTTTATCTCTTGTTTACTGTACGTTCAGGAAGTGCGTTGTTTTGGTTAGTACGCTCTTCGTTTATGGGTAAACCTTCTTTACCAGATTTGTATATGTTAAATTACTCCAAGGTATCCATGTCTTTTCCTACAGATTCCGTCTTCAAAATGTACATATTGTCTTTCTTATTTTCATATGAATTCTGCTTGCGAAGGAAGTTTTGCATATTTTAAGTGTTCCTTTTTATATTTGATATTGTGAGTGTGCTGCTTTCTTACACTTTATTACTCTGAATTTAACTACGGTCAAATAAACTGGCCTCATACTATTTAGAGTTTTACTAACCCCGTTGATAATTCAAAGGGAAGTCTCATAAATTGTTGCATATATATTTTCGTACTATTAACTTCTCCTAGCTCTTCCAGTATTCGTTTCAAGTCATATATATCACTGAATTGCGCGTCGAAGCCAACGGTTAACGACATCTCCCATGAAATACACGCAAAAACAGTGAATCGTAAACTGCCTATTTTATTAATAAGAGATAAAATTGTCCCTGTTCTTAACTAATTAAGCATTACGCCATGGAGGCGTGTTGGGGAGTGGTTGCATAGATCACATTTTCTTCACCTCGGCACTTGTTGGAGGTGAGTGGTCAGCTTCAGGCCCCTTGTACCCAATTGGTAGGAGGTTTGGTGGACCCCAGAGCCGGTCTGAACGACTTGGAGAAGAGAAATTCTTCACTCTACCGGGACTCGAACTCTGACCCCTCGATCATCCAGCCCGTAGCCAGTCGCTATACCGGCTCCCTATTTTATTACTAATCTTCACATATCCAGAGAAGCGGGGATAGCGCAGTCGGTATAGCGACTGGCTACGGGCTGGATGCTCGAGGGGTCAGAGTTCGAGTCTCGGTATTGTCAAGAATTTTCTCTTCTCCAGTCGTCCAGACCGGCACTTGGGCACACACAACCTCCTATCCAATTGGTACAGGGTGCTCTTTCCCGGGGGTAAAGCGCCCAGGGCGTGAAGTTGACTAGCTGACCTCGGCACTTCCAACTAGTGCCGAGGTCAAGAAAATATGGATATATACATCCACTCCCACTCTCCCACGCGCCTTCATGCCGTAATGCTTAATTAGTTAAGCACAAGGATAACTTTACTTTTATTTCACATATATAAATCAAACTATTATATCTCTACTCACAGAATAGATACGATACATTGAAACAACGGACTGTTCCATTGTCCAAGGACTACTACATAACTTAGGTTCATACAACCTGTTAACAATCGATAAATTGTTGCTATGATAACGTGAAATTACGCATTGACAATGTTAAATCTCTGACTTCTCTTCATTCGTGTATGTCGCCGACATGACCTTAGAAACTGTCATGGACTTAGTTAATAGGTCAGCTAATTTATCCAGTTGTTTAATTACTTAACTAACTAATAAGTTAATTTAGTTAGCAGCTTAGTTATTTAATTCGTTATTTACTTATATACCTGGGTACCTAGTTAATTAAATATTTCTTACGTAGTTAATTAATAAGCATTTAAAAACAAGCAGTGAGCATAAGAGAATGAAATAATGAGAATAACACTTCAGACCACAGATAAATACATCTGAATATTTATATAACATTGACTTTTGAATTTCATTACATCACAGTGAAACAAAAGTCTGTAAAAGACGCCAAACAATAATTTGTTGCCAAATTTCCCATTCAACAGTTCAGAATTGATGAAGCATTACAATGCTATCTCGTGTGATAATTCCAAATACCGTTATTTTATTTCTGTCATAAACATTAGTGCTGCTGCTCCGTCCTGTCAGCCGCACTGACGGCAGTCACAATCTTTCTGCCGCATGGTTAACTAGATGAGCTCTAAAGAACCGATATGCAGACAGTCAAAAATAGCACGCGATTTTTAATTGTAATTCGTATCATATTCCATAATATTAAAGTTATTTGTTACATATGTAGCGCCAGCAGCTGCAGCTACGGCAGAATGGGATATTGCATTCACAGTAACTGAGCATGCACGCTTTCGTATAAACTTTGAAGGCAACTGAAATCACCACTCCATAAAAATTATTACCAGAACTCCATTAGCAGCTTGTGAAAATGTTTTTCTAGAGACAAATAAGGGAAAAATTAAATGTATATGTTCATATACCTTCGCCAGTATATAGCTAGTGTGCGGCACACGTGCTAAACATGAAAGAAACATCTATCAGACAAAATGTGATAGGGAAACTTCAAGGGACTACACCATTTTGTATATAAGAGGAACGCATTACTAAAAATTCTGAGAAGAACGTGGGGCACATACTTAATTTTAAATGTTCTAGTCTGTAAGGCTTCAACTATGAATTAGCAATTACAACATTTATTGATTCATGCTACAAGTCGGACGATGGTGGGTTCAAGTCCTGATGAAGTCACTGCATTTTTTTTCACTTGTCTTAATCCTTCCAACCGCAATATGGCCCTGGAGTCGACTCAGCCTTTAAAAAAAATAGTACCAGGAATATTCCTGGAATGTCCTTGGGGGTAAAAGGTGGCCGGGGCGTAGGGTTGACAACCTTGCCGCCATCTATGAGCCGATTGTCTAGAAAATGTGGGAACCTCAACATCTCACAACCCTATGGGCCTCCACGGCCTGTTACGGGGATAGCTTTACTTTTACAGTTCAAGTTAAATTTGTCGAAGTTTACAAGTCGCCATATGTGCAACTTTGATAGAGATTACATACAAAGTTTTTGGTACTGTTTAAGATATCTCTTCATATGACTAAGAGAAACAATACATTACTCATTACCGTCAGGCCGAAACATAATGTACTAGTGTACTAATGGCTAGTGTGCTACCCTAGCGTTCGAACATGCTGGGTTCGATTCATTCTATCAAGAAGAAGGAAACCTACTTTAAAATGAGACGCACATCATTAAGGTCCCAAACTATTACGTGTCGATGATAAGGTTTGCATCTGCTCGTACAATAGTTGAACGACAAAACCAATGAGGTCTGCAGAATAGCAAAGAATGAACTAAGAAATACGTGTGCTGTAAATTCGAGTACACTTTACATTCTTCTTAAGATGGATCACAGTGGTCATCGAGTAAACCGGAAGTGAGAGCCTGTGCAGTGGAGTAAAGACCGGTGAGAATATCTTGGAATGACGCCTTATGCTCGGGCGGCAACTTCTCTGACAGTGTAGTTGAGCGCATTGCATACAACAAATCTTGCAGGCGCTAAGATGTACACATAAGGTGGTGCGAAGTTACACAATGATGGAAAGGGGTAAAGTGCTCTATTACGACATAAATAACTTCCACGTTCTCTCTTTGCCGCCTAATTTGCTTTGATGGGTCCTGAATGCAAACAGAAATCTACTGCTGCTTCAGAAGTTATTATTGTGGTATCTCATTAATGTTCATTTTATTTTCATTCGCTCTACAGCCCCCTTGGGCCCTGACGTCTGATTTTTCAGTTTCATGATCATTTTAAAGACGATAGGACTCCTTGGACGAGTGATCAGCTCGTCACAAGACATCTCCCTAAAGAGAGGACAACATAAACACAGAATAAACACATACACATACCAAACATTCATGTCTTGCATGGGTTTGGAACTCACAATCCCGGCTTCTTAGCGAACGAAGACATTTCATGCCTTAGACTGCTCGGCTACAGTGACCGGCTCTTCATATTTAGAAATA